TGACCGCGGCGGGCGCCCGGGCCGGGAGCCCTTGGCCGCCAGAGGCGTAAGACCCCCGCCTCTGCCCCCAGGACCTGCTCGGGGACTTGGGGTAAACTGGAAACTCAGAGACGTGAAATAAATAGCCACATAGTAAGGGCGAACAACTGTGCGTCGGTTAGCATTATTTGAACGGTTTTCGACTTTTTCCGTCTGCAGAGTTGTGGCCTTTCTGTTTGTGGATAGGCGAGAACTTTCACAAATTGCCAGAGCCTGTGTGCAGAGAAATTTCCTTTCCGCTATCGTTTTAGATCCACTAACTCCTATTTTTTTCATTCCCATTAATCTCCAAGTCCGCTGAGGGTACACTTTATAGCTTCTTCTTACTTTCTTATTCCATAACTACAGAAGCTGCGTTTTAGACCCATTTATTTATCTTTTTTCCAGACATGATTAAAGAGAGGTACAGAAGGCAAATGAAGAACTAAGAATTACGTGGTTCAATGGATAGGGCGTGATGGAGTTAAGATTTTAAAGTGGAGTGGGGACTTTTTGTCCCACAACAGGACTATAATTTAGGTCTTTTCAGCTGTCACTTGAAGATAAACTCAAATAATTATTTAAAGATGCCCATGTGCATAGGATGCTTCAGATTTTGAGGCAATGATCTATACTTCAGATCATGTGATTCCAGAGACTTTGCCACAAATCTGTGAACAAACTGCCAAAGGTAATTAGAGGAACTGGGATGTATGTATGTGTGACTTCTCTAAATTCAGGGGACATTTCCTCATTTTAAAGGATATTCAAAGATTTAGTCCCACATTTAAGGATAAGAATATTTATTTTCAATGTCAATAACCACACTATGGCTTTTTCATTCTTAAAAAAAAATAAATTGTAGGCTAGGCACAATGGCTCACACCTGTAATCCAACACTTTGGGAGGCCAGAGTATTGCTTGAGTCCAGAAGTTCTAGAACAGCCTAGGCCACATAGCGAGACCTCATCTCTACAGAATTTTTTTTTTTTTTTTAATTAACCAGCTACTCGGGAGCCTGAGGCAGAAGGATCGCCTGAGCCCAGGAGGTCAAGGCTGCCGTGAGCCCTGATAGAGCCACTGTGCTCCAGCCTGAGTAACAGAGTGAGACACTGACTCAGAACAAACAACAAAAAAATTGTGAATCCAAATACGTTTTATACTTCAAAACAATAATCCTTCAGAACTTTCCAAATGTTTTCAGTGTCATTCAGAAATGGATATAAGAATACAGTAGATACAAATCGATACATTGCTAATGGTTCTGTACATTTTTTACTGTGGTCCACACACAAAGCAAACCACATGGGGAAGCTAGAGGAGTTCTTCCCTTGTAACAATCAACAAGTGATCAGTGTAGCTCTTAAAGCCATATCCACAGTGCTGAAACAGTTCTCAGACCAAAAGAAGTTCTCTGTCTCTCTAATCTTTTCCTCCCACAAACATTTTAAGACAAGAAGAGGGAAAATTACCTTCAACTGACAAGAGGTTGGGTATTTTGCCTTTATAATCTGAGAACTACAATTTAATAACTTGATAATCACACCTCATGACAACCTTGACCTTCTGGGCTCAAACAATCCTTCTGCCTCAGCCTCCCAAGTAGCTGAGACTACAGGCGCATGTCACTATACCCAGCTAATTTTTTGTGTTTTTGTTTTGTTTTGTTTTTTAGAAACAAGGTCTTGATATGTTGCCTAGGCTGGTCTTGAACTCCTAAGCTCAAGTGATTCTCCTGGTTCCCAAAGTGTTGGAATTACAGGCGTAAATTACCATCCCTGGCCTAAAATTAATTTAAAAGGCACACTTTAAGGATGATCACTTTAACTAATCATATTCACCTATAGATAGAGCTATATATCCTCATTTTCTATGTTTCCAATTTCTTTTTGTTGAACGTTCAGCTAAGGGTCTAGCTGATGTTTATGCCTTTATAAAAGGTTTCATGTAAATAAATTTTAAAAGTAGAGAAAGGTTTTTGTCAGACTATGGGTCCCAGTATTTCATCTGGAAATATAATTCTGTTTATTCAGATAAGGCAAATATTTTATTTATCTGTTTTATCTGTAATGAGAGATTTTATGAATACAAGCTTTGGAATTGGACAGACTCAGGTTTAATGCTTGGCTTTGCCACTTTCTACTTTGGGCAAATTATTTCACATCTCTGATTACTAGTCTCATTCATAATGTGAGGATGATATTAATAATAGTGCTTTTCTCCTCAGTAAAACAGAGATGATAATAGTGCATATCTCATGAAATTGCTATGAGGATCAAATGAACTTAATAATAGAATGCCTGAAACATAGTACCAATTGACTGCTACCATCATCATTAGCAGCTCTACAACAGATTTTTAAAATGCCAGTATTATATGTGTTTCATTTGCAATGGTATAAAAATAGCAAATAGAGATTTAAAAGTAACAGGAAAAAAACAGATCTGAAAGTAACGGAAAAAGTTATAAAAGAAATATGAAGATAAAGTTATGTTCAAAATTTTGGAAAATTAGACTGACAGTAATGTAAACCGTTGACTCAATTTTATTTTATTTTTTTGAGTTGCAGTCTCACCCATTGCCCCGGCTGGAGTGCAGTGACATGCTCACGGCCACCCCAGTGTCAACCTGCTGGGCTCCAGCGATCCTTCTGCCTCAGCCTTCTAAGAAGCCGGAACTCCAGGCGCGCGCTACCACACCTGGCTAATTTTTTATTTATTGTAGTGACGAGGTCTCACCATGTTGCCCAGGCTGGTCTTGAACCAACGGGCTCAGGCATTCATCTCGCCTCAGCCTCCCAAAGTGCTGGGATTACAGGCTTGAGCCACTGGGCCCAGCCGACTCAAACAATTTTTAAAAAATCAACTACTTAACCAGTAATACAATTTATTTATTTATTTATTTTTGGTAATACAATTTATTATTATTATTATTATTTAGAGACAGAGTTTTTGCTCTGTCACCCAAGCTGGACTGCAGTGGTGCAATAATAGCTCACTGTAGCCTTGAACTCCTGGCTCCAGCAATCCTGCCTCAGCCTCCTAAGTAGCTGGAACTATAGGCAAATGCCACCATACCTGGCCAATTTCTTTTCATAGAGTCAGGGTCTTGCTGTGTCACCTAGGTTAGTATTAAATTCCTGGCCTCAAGAAATTCTCCCACATTGACCTCCCAAAGTACTGGGATTAATAGGTGTGAGCCACTGCACCTGGTCTACGATATTTTTTAGATTATATATTTCAATGAAATGAGTGCTTGGTTTTCATTCTCCACTACTCAAAATGGAAAATCTGTTCTCCAAATGGCGCCTGGTATGGAAGCATCATTGCTTTGTTATATCTTAATAAAGCCTTCTATTGTTTCCAGTTCTTTTATTGTAACCTTGGAAGAGGTAAGCGGCATAACAATACAATAAATATCACTCCCATTAGGGAGAAAATTGATAAAATGGCAGTCACAGGATCGGAATGACTTCTATTTACAAGTCAGCTGGCTAAGGAAGTGAGAATATTCATTAGAATATTTGTTTTATAGCAGAAAAAATGTCAAGTCTAGAGAGGTAAGATAATGTTACCAACTACATGGTTACAGAAGCAAAACATGTTTTGTTTCATATTATTTGCATCGCATTTAGAGCATTTTTTCCTCATTATACTACAAACTCTAAGTCCCTCAGACATCATGAGTTGTTGCTACAGTTTTCAGCTAATGTTTATCAGCTGATACAGCAATCGCAGCATCCCACAATTTCAAATAAAAGAAAACCATTTTTGTAGAGGAGATAGTGTAAGATATAAGCCTGACCATGAATTGGCTCAGAATATAATTAAAATGAAAAGCCTGCTGTAAAAATGAGTAAAAAATGGGGAAACAAAATTAGTTAATTTATTAAAATTTCCAAGCAAAATAAATTAATAAAACACAAAGCAACCCACGATATAGTTAGAAAAATTCAGATACTCGTGGGAACTTAAATTGAGACCAATTAATGCCTCCTTAGTGCAGAGAAGAATTAACCTGTTTCTTTGATCTGGAAAATGGTTCAGCATGTACTCATTTTGTGAGTTGGGAGTATGATTGGGAGACCCAACTCAACATTATTTCTTGGGCCAAATTAGCCAAGTTCAAACTCAAACTGAAATGCCTGAAGTTCAAGTGTGTTTTATAAGGGAAAAACTCTTTTTTAAAGCAAGACTACATTAGAATAAAATATGAGGCTTTTCAGATCAAAAGACTTTCTCACTTTCTATATTAGACTCATGAGAAAAACCAAGAGAAAGTGTTAGGAGATCAGAACCCTTAAACTGCTAGCATTAGCTTTTTGATTTAAAAAAAAAAAAAAACAACTAGCTAGAAATTACTTATTTCCCTAAAACCCTTAATTACCTGAAGTACTACTATTATACTCCCCTATTAGGAAAATCTCATTGTCTTCCAATCAAATTATTATAAGCATCAAGACAAATATAAATTGCCCCCTTTTCTCTTATTTTCTCTCTTTTTTCCCTGTATCTTATTTGATAGTCTATTATGTACTTAAACAAAATCTGTTAATAGTTGACAATAACTTATTTACATAAGTCATGTCAGCAGTTTCTATCTTCAGAGAATCATATTAGGCCTTTGAGCTCAAACCTGCTAAGTGGACTTTGAAGGTACTTATTATTTTAGTTTCTTATCAGTGGGGAATAATAGCTTTTCTTAAACACTGTTCATTTGGTGACTCAGTTATTTA